AGTTGCCTCTGGGTTTGCGACAATTTTTTCTAGTGAAGCGGTACTGCGGGCTGGCCTGTTCTTTCACTGTTCTTCCTTTGAAGACTCAGGTTAGTTGATTAGTATTTACATTTAGCTGTTTTTCAATTTTAGCCTATAAGTCCCATGGTATTTTCGGCAAACGGCTTGTCGGACTCAGGTACGACATTAAACTTCTAATTTTCAGTTTTCAGCCTCATTGGCTTGTTGTTTGGAATGCTTGTGGGTTTCAACGTCTCTATTAGCGACATGGGTAGCGATGTTGTCGCAACGATATTTGAAACCAGGGTAATTTTATGAACTTATGTATACATCTTACAATGATTCTTCGAAAAGCTTAACTTGCTTTCCCAACTTCTTTCCGTCTTGCTGGTATACTTCATGATTTCGTTGATAAAAAGTTCAGAAATATGCTTTATAGCTAGATTCTAAAATACAGTAGATGCCTTTTCCTGCTCAAATCGCCATATTGCTCGACCCCATATTGGATTATTTTGCGTTACGGGCTTTCTGTGTCGAGGATATCTGACACCGCATTCCACATTTTATATATTTCGAAATGACAGCAAATCGAAGCAATATACTTCCTTATCTGAAAGACCGCAATGTGCGCATGACAGTTAGTCCGAACAGGTTGCACTGGAAATTTCCACATTGAGTGGCTGATAAATTCAGGATGCACACTTAGACCTCGCCACACGCGCCAGAATCGTATTCTTGGCAAAGTTGTAAGTTGCGAAACTCTGTTGTCATAAAAAGCTATAGGCCGTGTAACACATGGAATGAATGCAGCAATTAGAATCCCTAAAGCCATTGCAAAAATATATATATTCACTTTTCTTCTGTTGACCAGTTAGAGACAGGAACGCAGAATTATTGAAGAAAGCTAATGCTTCTGGATGTATTGAACAGACCTCGAGAACTGTAAAAGAGAGGGAGGGTGCCGAACAGTTTTGACCCCACCATACGTTCCAAACTTATCAGAAGCCGTCAGCCGTTGGCTACAGGAGGAAATATATTGAATCTTGTATCGAGTCTGTAACAATTGCAAAAAAAGCCAAACAGGTTAGAGAAACAGAATTTTTTTTCGGACATGGATGACCGACCAAGAGTCAGCAGTGTGAATGAATAACACTGACTGTCAAGTTGCAGATCGCTTGACTCAACCTATTCACATGTCAACATTTGCCATTTAAAAATTGTTAGCAGGAGATCGCAATGTCATTTGTCGCGAGCGATTTAAATTGTGGTTGTGCAGTAAACCCCCTCTTTCAATTTTCTACTCCTCGTGTCGAAAGCCTGTTTCCGTGAGTAACCGATCCCACCGACCCGCTTATTTGACCTGTGAAGTCCATCAGTTACGTCCTTCACTGAATAAAGTCGAGTGCTAAGTTTCTGGCCTCCGTTAAAACTTGTATCATTCAAAGTCATGATTATCATATTTCGAAATATTGTACCCAATACGGGTACTAACGCCGGTATTGCGCGCAGTACATAAGTCAGACGGGGGTGTTAAACCACAGTACTGTGTACAAACCGACTGTATGTTCTTTTTAAAGACTGAACTGTTAATGCCGATAGTTAAACCCGACTCTGTGGCAAAAAAGTAGGATTTAAAGTTTCAGAGATGCGCTTAAATTTGATTCCGGGTCCATTTATTGGTGATTTTCTGATAAATACCTTATTTCAGTTTTTGGTTTTTTGCGTTCTCGACTGTGTGCCCTTGTGTTCCCTTCCTGTCGCCCAAGGTTACTGATCATCTAACCCCGCAAACCCCCTGACTTAGCCTTTTCCCTTTCGTTGTCGCTGTGGCACATTTAGCTCTCCGCTATTTTAGCCCACTATCTTCTATCGGCGCCTCTTTCTCATCGGAACTCTGTGCGTTGTTCTCCCGCTCTGCCTTCTTCGCCGTATAGAGCTCATCAGCTGGGCTAGTTCAATAGCCGTTCTAATATACGTGCTCTTCCTGACGCATGTAAGTTAAATTTGGCGGTTTATGCTGCCGTTTACGCTCTTTTTTCTGGCTTCCACACTTCTGATTAAGAGCTTTTAGACCTCTTTCGCTTATTTCTTGGTATACAGAAAAATCTATTTTCTGCCCATTGAGCCCTTTCAGCGACTAAACGACATGTATAGGATGTGCATGCAGTGCTTAGGTCTGCGCTTGATTTTTTGTATTAAAAACTGAAGATTTGAGCACACCAGAGCTCACCGGAACAAGTTTCTTGAAGAGCTGATGTTTCGGGGAGCCTAGCGGAATTAAAAGTGGTGTGCCGTGCCTTGCTTCTCTGATCGCTTCTCCCCGTCCGCTGCCTTGGCCTTTCAGAGGATGTTTGGCGGGCGTCACCAGCTGGATGCGGTGTGGTTGAGCTTCTGCTGACGTTGTTCAGTCTGGCAGTTCGTCATAAGGTTGTGTCTGCGTGGTTTCCTTAAGTTCTGTGCGATCATTTTGTCCTGAGCTTTGTGTACTTGATGATGCAGGATTTATAATTCGCAGGAAGGTCAAGATGCCTGTTCGTGAATACTACGTATTAAGTGTTTTCCGTGTCATCTTTGTGTTGTTTCCTCCATGCAAATCTGGCTAGTTTCTTTGAGTTGGCCCGGCTTAAAATGGCAAGCCAAGGACAATTGGAGGTACGGCCAGCCTTCTAATTGTCAATTTGAGCTACTGTGGGCGGGTTTGTGCTTTCCATCCGGTTTGTCCAACGTAGTTGCATTCCTATCATTGCAAGTTATTATCCAGGCAACCACAAAAGATTCAGTATGTGGCAGCGTGTCCTTCTGTCGTACCAAAG